GTAACGTAAGCACGTACCTGATGGTGCAAGAGTGACTTCCATAACTTGCTCTTGTGAGTGACTTGGTGTCACCTTAAACTTAGCAAAGTTGTTGAGGTACAACCTAGCTTTGGTGGTGCTATCCATGGCAATGAAGTCAACAGCCCGATTGGAAACCGTAGTCTTCACAATGGTCAGAGAGGAGCCTTTTTTCACCAGCATACCGTTAGGTGCTTGATTATCGCTAGAGAATACTAGAGCGTCTTGTCCGATGCTGTTCATGACTTTCAGGATCATGAAATATTTCTCACCTTCTCCTTCAGATCCTACAAAGCAAATCAAAAAGACGTTTCAAAAAGGTTCTTTGCTTACCTAAGCCTTAAAACTCCGTTTTGAAATTTGCTACAAGGATTATTGGCAAGAAACAAGTGGGAACTATGACGTACGCGGCAGTTTATGACGAGTAGGGTTTTTTTTACTCATTATGCTCAAATTTTTCACTATTATGCTACTGCTTGATGCTCAAAAAATCTCACTATTATGCTCGAAAGGCGTCACTATTATACTCCATAGGCTCACATAAAAAACTAAAATTTACTCTTTCAAGATTAAAACACTTGTTTTATTGAAGCATGACCGACACCTCAATATAAGCTGCCATTGCTCTGCCTTGGTTACCCGGAATGAGGCTTCTGGTAACGAAAACGCTCACTGTGATGCAGCAGCAAAGGGTTGAATAAGCAAACCCTTCTCGCCTAATGAAGTCCAATTCATGTGTATGTGCTATGTGCACTGCGTGACTGGTGTCCAAATTCTTCTCGGCCTACCCAGCCTCCAACCAGTTTTTGTCACTGTTATTCCAGCATAAAGCTCGATTCTATTATTGTGCTCAAAATAAGACCAGCGTAATGTGAAATACTCTAATGGCGGAAAACAACAGTCTCATAGCTAGCTGTGACATCCGGGGCAACTTTTGGCGGGAAAAAGTTAGAAGCAAAAGTAAGTGGTTTCCGTATCGCATAGCAACTAGGTCATGCGAGCGTTACCTACCTTGTCTCCAGAAGTAACTGTAGATGTGGGAAATCGTTTTCGGAGACAGTGCCCCCTTGAAAGTGGAGATAGAAGCCAACTGAAACCTTGCGTGTGCTCCTTGATTGACACTGCTGCCCACAAAGAAATTCTGGGGATTGTCAGATTTCACGTGATTTCCGTTCGTCCCCAGGACGTCTCCGTCAACCAGCTCACCATCACAATAGACCTGGAGTCCAGTCTTCCTGCTAAAGTCGCCCATGACGTAGAACCACTTGTTTGCGTAAACTGGAATGGAGACCTGTAATGGGAATACGTGGCCGAAACAGTTAAGGACAGGCAAAATAAAACGTGCAACATATGATATAAAGGGCCCACCATAGGTTTGGCGAAATGCGGGATGAGTAAACATGAAGGCGGGATACAGGGTGACAGGGCTTTTAATGGCGGGATGGGGCGGTGGGGGGATAAAAATATTTCGGCGAAACGAGATTTACTCATTTCGGCTGACGGGATGTGGGATAGTTTCAAAAATGACGACGGGATGCGGGATGAAAAACAGAACATCGCATGTTACAGACGTTACGCGATGAACTGCGACTCTACTGAACCTGGTGGGATCGAAAAAATAAACATTTTGACTGCGGTGAGATGGCGGAATTGAGGCAAAAAAAACAAAACAAAACAAAACAAAACAAACAAACAAACAAAAAAAAATGGCGAGATGCGGGATTGAAAAAGCCTGTGTGGAACCTTTGATATTGGGAATGTGTTATTTGGCCAGACAGCCTTACCTGATAAACCGCATTTGATGTGACGATCTTGAAATAGAGCGAGTTCAGCTGCAGAAAGACGCTGATACCCTTGTTGTTTGCACTAGCCCCAGTATCAATGACATACTGTGGTGCATTATACGTCAAAGACTCATCACTAAACTTGAGTTTAACACCCACAGCAAAGCCACTAATACACATGTCTGGATCACATACACAAGCCGTGCCGGGCAGCGCGCCGCTCAAGGAGCTCTTGGCACCATCAAAACGAGATCCTCCCTGGACAGCTTCTAAACTGCCCTGAATCACCAAGGGTGGGTTACCGGGGACAAGTTTGTCGTTCATTGCTGAGAGGATCCACGAATGGGATGGATTGACTGGTGGTGCTGCAAAAGGAGAACCAGATATCACAATTCAGATCTTTGAGCGCTTGCTTGGGATTTGCTGACAGTGAGGAAACTCGCGAAACATGATCTAGCCGATCATGAAGAGCGAAGGTGTCGCGCTATGAGCCAATCAGAGGAAAGACTTGCCTAACACGGCTTTTCTCGCGCTTTTCACTCCAAACTGTACCTGACTATGAGTCAATAAACACGTATAACAGCTCATCATGTGATTAACAAGGACTTATAACCACCTATTTGCTCTGAAAGAAACCATCTGTTTAACGTAAAACTTAAAGCTTGGCATGATTTCGAAAGAAACAAAGTCAACAAGTCTTTTCACCGTTAAAATTCCACGAGTAGGATGGGACAGGGATTTGATATTTACCTGAAACACTTGACTCCTCCATCGTTTGATCTTTAATGGGAAAAGAGAATATATCACTAAATAGAATAAGGGTGGTATGATTGAGAAACTTACTTCATTTTGATTGGCTGAGAGTAGGCCAATTTATCGTTAATTCTTAATTTGCACCGCAGAGCTAGTTCGCAATTTCCTCAGTCAAAATAAATTAGTAATCGTATTAAAGCTCGAGAAACTAAGGATTTATTCTTCATATTTGAAAATTCTTCCAAATTGCACTCGCCTAAAGGCTCGTCAGTCGTGCAATTCATTTTGAGGGAGTTTTGAATAATCACTCGTAGTGTAAATCCTTCATTGCACTCGCATTCATACAATTACCTACACAATATCACTTAGTGGGAAATAAATGTCATATATATGAAGGTTGTAACTGCCATAAAGATCAAAATTTTGCATATCCCACACAAAATGTTCAACTCAAAGTAGTGAGAATGTAGATATGGAAACACCTCATTCAAACTCACCGGCTGGGATCACAGGCTCCGACAACGACTGACCTGTTATTTGTAAAGAAATGAGATTTGAATGATTAACTTGAACTTCATTTAATCAACTTAAATTAATTTGAATAAATATTAGCTCAGATTCTGAGAATGCTGCAATCATAAAGCTTCTGAATGTGTTAAATTCTGTCAGAGTATTAGAAGACCATTGTGCCGCTACGTAACGTCAAACTATTTATCTTCAGGCCGTCGTAAAAGTCAAAGGGAAAATGAACAGTTCAATGTTTTGATTGCGAAAGCAAACGTCAGTCGTCTCTCCCACTCCCTTTTGAAACACGGAACTAATAAGCAAAACTGGAAATATTGCGCAAAGTATGCCAAAACTACAACATCACAATCTCCCGCGCTAACCACACCCGGTATCACAACTGTAACATACATCAAGTAAACCAGACACATGTTTGAAGAAAACATCGGGATAGAAAAAATTCCACGCATTCGCACAATCGCAAACTAACCTTTTTTTGTTATAGTCACTTTCACACTTTGTAGCGGCGATTTGGTGGGAGTAACAGAAATGTCATCTAGGCCATTCAGATACAATGCTTCGTGTGCCTCACTATCGTCCTGCGCATTGAAGATAACCGCTGAGGGCCTGGACACAGCTTTCTTGATCTTAGCTACTATCCCGGGGGTGATGGTAAAACCTTGCGACGGATAATGATCGGACGGCATCAGAGTGAACTTCTTTTTTGACAAGTTTGTGACTTCCAGGACGATGTAAAATTTGGTGGCAGCTCCTGAAAATTAGGGGGAAAAGATCAGTAAAAAATGGGATTTCTCAAAATAGGTATTCTACGAAAATTCGACGAAATTTTGCTAATGAAAACGAAATTTCATTCGCGTTCTACGTCCACTTCTTTTCCCTTAAAATTAATACCCAGAGGTTAAGGATATATCTTCCAGTTCAGGGATCTGTGCCGCTGTACGTGACGTATATATCTCCGTTACTTACATGTACATACTCAGGGTCTTTCCATAGTCAATAAGGGTGCTACTGGGCTTTCTGCATAAGTGAAGAAAGTTTATCAATCCTACTTTGTTTGCTTATATAAAAAGCCCAACAGAATGTTTCTGAAAGACTCTCCAGGGTGAAGTCTAGTGTGCGCCTTTGTTACCGTAGAAAGTGTTATTCTTTCTCTCGATCAAACTCTAACCACCTCTACAAGACGACAGGCCATTAGTTAGATTCAGCGGAAAATGACCGTTGCTTTTCGCTTTACATTCCTTTACTTTTTTTACCCTCCAAAAATTTCAATATGTTTTGAAGGCCGGCTCAATTACTGAACAAAATACCTGCTGACTCAGAGAGAAAAAAAACATTTGTTGACAAGTTTATTTATTCTCATTACTTCTCGTTCTCGTAGTTATTGGTAATGTAAGAGGAATCACTAAACTGATCACTGACCTGATCCATCATAGTCTTTATAGAAGGAAGCTACGTTGCCGGTGTGAGCAGCTGGGATACATTCGTCAAAAACAGCCAGTGATTTGATGGAAAACTTTGCAAAGTCCGATCCAAACACATTCGGAACTCTTCCGCCAATACATAGGTTTGTTTGGGCGACGTTTATCGGTCGTGACGCCACCTGTTTTCCCAGAGCATCTGAAGCCTGAAGTATGTCGTTTTGGTACAAAGACAAGCCTTCCACTTCGCTCCATGTTCCCGTCAAGTAGAACCAGTTGTCAAATGTTAACGGTGCTGAGACCTAACAAAAGAAATACGATTGGCGAAAACTTGGGAATTACTTAGAAAACAGGTTCACGATGAAAAAGGAGCATTCCGAATGGGTTCCTTGAGCTGTCCGAATATGAGAATAAGAACTGTTTCAGTGGCTCAGTAACCAACGATTTGTTTGCTTAAAGCTATACGCTTTACGTAGAAACATCTTCTCGCTAGCTTGATTGAACTTTCTCGAGAATAGCTTGACAAATGCATGTAGGTGCGTATTTTAAATAAACAAACAAACAAACAAAAAAACAAACATTTTATTTAACATTGCAGCACACAGTTGCTGAGAACAGGTGTATATGTGTACCAGGAAAAGGTTTATGAGCCTCAATGTGGGCGACACAAGCAGTTGAGGGAACGACATTTGTTGATATTTAACAACTTCTTCTATTTGAAACGTATCTAGCGATAACCCCAATACCCCAACCCCTTCCCGCCCCCAATTGCTGTGCAGGTGCTGTGCTCTGCGTAGTCTTAAAGATAGCAAAACCAACATTGCTTGGGGAAGGGGGAGGGGTTGGAAAAAAATTGTCCACGATACTCGTGTCCCAATAGTTTGTTCGACTA